TGTGCTTAGGGATTACAGAGTTGCATTGAAGATCAAAACAAGTTTTTCTATTAACACTTTTGGGGTTGCACACCAAGTGTTTGATAATATTTCTGAAAGAGTTATAAGCTTCAAATTGGAAAAGTTTCTAAAGGAAATGGCTCCTAAATTCTCTAGAGAAACTAAAGGGAAAGGGATTGCTAATCCTAGACCACCAAAGAGGTCTAGAACCGGCATCTCTATTCAAGAACCCCAAAGTGGTTCACAAGCACCAAGCTTGGCTCAAATAAGATATCATTTAGTTTCTATCACCGGAAGGATTGAATTTACAGAGTCACATTTTTACAATGAAGAAGCTTGGAAGGTGCATACCTCTGTTTAGAAGGATGGGCTGATAAAAACAGAGAGGAATGTTAATCTTTAGAAACTTCAAGACACTGCAGGACAAGCACTAGTGAACTACATCAAATCTCATGATTGGCTTTCCTTCACTAGGCTTGACAAAGGCGTTTATTGTCTGGATATGATTAGCTACTTCTATGCTAATATCCATGAGGTTCATGACTCCTACTTCATTGTATCATTGTTTGGAGTTGATTATACAGTTTATGAGCAGGCTATTGCGTCTATCCTTGGACTTCCGAAAAATCTTCAATTGTCGGGATATACGCTGCCTTTGGTAGTTTCAGGCTCTGATTTTTCCCAGATTGTTCTGTGTGCCTAACTCCTCTGTGAACCAAGATACCATCCCAGCCCGCTTTCTGATGAAGTTGCGTTCTTTAACTTGTTTGCCATGGCAAATCTGGGCTACTTCGGGAAGAAGGATGAATTATCTCTGGAGCGAGCACAAGTATTGTATTTTCTTGCCAACAATAAGAATATTTTGCTTGACTACTCTATTGTGTAGCTTATCATAGCTCATTATAAAAAAAATTCTTGCAAGTACTCTTCTCCATTTCCAATGATCATCATAGAAATTCTAAAAAAGAAGAATGTGCCGATTCCTCCAAGCTAATCATAAGTCGATAATGACGGAATTAGGTCCTCTTGCTTTGAACAAGTCAAAGACTGCTAGGGAGGATGCTAAAAAGGCGAGGAGATCTGTTGATGAGGGGCCATCACAAGTTTCAGAGATTACTCAGCTATTTGCTCCGAAAGGGACTTTCATGAAAATTGATGCCAACATCATGTATTCTCATCTACTTCAGCATCAAAATTCATTATTTGAGAAGATAATGGTTGAGATTTGAGATCTCAAACTACAGATAACACAGCTGAGAGGATAGCCATCTGGGGTTCCGGATGAGGATGAGTATACAGATGAAGATGAGGAGGCTGAGGATGAAGAAGAGAGTGGTGGAGACTAGTGATTATGTTTCTTATCTCCGAGTGGTTGAGGGGACATGGTGCTGCTTTTAATGTTAATTTCTCATGCATAATGACATCATGTTTTGTTTAATTATTACACAACTTGTTTAAGTTTTTGGATATTCCTGGAATATGCTTTCAAAGACTTCAATATGCTTATTTGGATTGTGCTTTAATTAGGTGGACTTATCTGTTCTATTTTTGTCTCTATGCTTTGTCAATTTGTTACAAAAAGGGGGAGAACAAATGTGATGTTAAAGGGGAGATAAATAAAATTTTAGATATTTACTTAAGGGGGAGTTTTTATAAATTTTTATTTATTAAACTTCATTAGTAGTTGTTGCTTGATAGTATGTAGGAAATAGGTCAAGCCTTGAATCCAAGAAGAACAGTGTTCCTATTTCCGTATTTTTGCCTTTTTCACAATGAATGTAATTTACTGTTTTGCTTTGGGTAGATTACAAAAAAATGTTTTTAGGGTTTTGTTACAAAATTGCCAAAGGGGGAGATTGTGAGATATTAATTATTTTTGGCAATTATCGTAGATATAACAAGTCCAAATTGAGTTGTAATTTAAATTACTTGTTCGACAAGTCATCAAGTTCGATATGGACTACAGAACTGGGAAGGAGTTCAAACTTACCATACTTGAAGAGTTTGTAAAGAAAAGGGTAAGAATATTGCTTTAGAAAGGAATATGAACAAGGTTGAACATTCTACACTTACCATGTTAGTCTGAAATTCCCGTAGAATGAAACAAGGCTGAAAGAATTCGAGTATTCAGGTCTGCCAACCTTGAACTGGTTCAGCTTCCTTGAACCGGTTCAAGATGTCCTGTTTGCAATACAACTTCAGTTTCTTTTTTCTAAATTGTTTCCCAGTTGTTGTAGAATTGTACCAAATCCCTTGTACGAATTTTCCTTATTTTCAGAGGGATTTGGTCATTCTATACTTTATATAATTCATGTCATATACATTGGTTTATTCATGGCTTTTAATCATTATTCATATATCATACAAAGCCTTAGGAAGTTTATCTTTCTCAGAAAATCAAAGTTGGTTTTTCTGTTGTCTTCCTAGAACACACACATATTCACCTAGTGAGTTTAAAGTTGTGGTGTTCAAATCCTGATCGTGATCATAAAGTCGTATTAACATCGATTAGACAAAGCAGATCTTCTTCTACATCATTTAGACGATTGAAGAATAGAAGTAAATGCAGTCACACTTTGGAAGGGTTGGAGCATTTGCGGAGTGCTGTCTGATCTACCTGCTACTATTATACAAATATCAAGTGTAAGCCTGAGGTCAAGTTACTGTTGGATGGGAAGTTGCAAAGCTAGAGAATCGTCAACGGTTGATGTGGTGTACAACAATAAGGTATGAGCCAGAGTCAAAGTTCGGTATACTTTGTTTTAAGCATAGTGGATTAGTTTACTTTGGACTGCATAAGTCCACGAGATTTTTCCCATAACAGTTGACGTATTTTATCAACTGGAGTTTCCTTGCTAAAATCCTGGTGTCATCTTTAACTTTTTACTTTGCTTTATTTTACTGCATGCGATTAATTGTTTAACTGCTAAAATTATTAAACTTGGTAACGACACGGATCTGTTTTTACAAAAATCTAAAACTTTCCTAAGTACATTCCGCTGCGTATGACTCACAGGGTATGTGATGTAGGAAGCTTAAATAATTTTATAAGTCATTCCTATTTTGTGATAACATGATAGCATATTATTATGGTTATTCTGGATTATTTGATGTACTTCTTTAATTATTACATCAACTGTTGGATTGTGTGGATATAGTACGCCAGTATGGAATGGTGGCACTCTAGGGATGGATTAACTTATCAGTTAAGTCCTAACTATTTTATAGAAGGGAGTGGATTAACTAAAATGTTAAGTCCTACTTATATTCGTGTCAGGTCACCTAGCTGAACAAGTTGGGTGATACATAGTGGATTACTTTAAATTAGATATATATATAGACATATGTCATGATATGAGCTTGAGTCTCAGGATCAGTGGATAGGGTGTGTATATTGCCAGGGATGTGTAGCTGGATATAGTATGGTTGTGTGCCCTGTTAGGTCTAGGTACTCATGTCCACTATATGTGTGTTTTTGCATGTTACCTACTATTCATGTTGAGGCAACCCTATAGTCTAGTGAGATTCCTTTAGTGTGTATATGTATGTACGGATTATATAGTTATTGCAAGGGTTAGCGTTAGATAAATAGTTTCCCCGGTTTCTGTTTGGGTTGTCGTAGAAAGAACTTGTTCGTGGGCCTGACTCACTATTATTTTTCAGGTGTTCGTCAGTTCCAGACATAGAGTTTGTTCGTGCTGAGCGGAGACAATCCACATCATTCTTTCGGTTCTACATAGGACTTTCTTTATGTTTTAGTTTGAGATTATGTTTATTTTCAGTTGTTTCAGTTGGAATATCATTAGGGGTCCACTAGATGGATTCCCAAGTTGTAATGATAATTTAAGGTTTTGGATAATTCATTTGGAGGATTTATTATTTAGTTTTCTTTTTTGCTATTTTATTTATTCTTAAATATTTATTTTGTAATCAAATGCTTGTTTATATAATTAATTGTTTGGTATCCCTTGGATCGGTGCTCGGACTTGATCACCCGTGACTCTAGAATCGAGGAGTATCACACAAAGTTCCTTGGATTTTTTATAGTGATTGACTTGATGTGTTGATGATATGAGAAGTACTTAAAATTATGCATTCTCACTTGATTCGGGTATATTCTCATGGGCATCTAAGAAGTAAAAAACAGTGGCGCAATCTTTTCACTAAGTATATTTTAGCATCGTTAGTAGCTTCACAAGCAAAATGACTAAGGAGAATTTTAGAAGATATTGGTGAGAATCTAGGAGAAGCTACTCCAATTTTGTTTGACAATAAATCTGCAATTGCTATGACAAAAAATTGCGTCTACCATAGTCGAACAAGACACATTGTAATCAAGCATCACTTTATTAGAGAGGTCATGAAAGATGAGGAGATTCATCTCAAGTACTACAAGACCGAAGACCAAGTTGCAGATATCTTCACCAAAATACTTTCAAGAGATAAATTTAAATACTTTAGAGAGTTATTGGTTGTCACAATATGGCATTAATGGAAGTGTTAAAATTATTATGTAATACGATGTTTGTCTTTAAATGTGTTGTCCAATTTAATATTTTCTCTTTTGTCTTTTAATGTGCATGTATGTCAAGTGTGTGTAGTTGAGAATTGCCTCGAAAAATATTTTGCAATTTAGGAAGTCCAATGATTTTTGGGAAAACATAATAGATCAATGAAATGGTCTTGTAAATCAGAACATTCAAGAAATCAATAAGTTTATTTAAAATAAATTTATTTAAAATAAAATTCAATGGTTGGTTAAAACTATAGCCAACAAATGGTTTATATTGGGCTCTACATGCATCGCAAATGTCCATTTGTTACTTTTTTCTTTTTATTATTATTATTATTATTTTAGGTAAAATTTTTATAAAAAAAATTTTTGGGGTCAATAATTTGGGATAAACTGCTACAATATTAGGAATTTCTTAATTTGCCCAAGCCTTCCGCACACAAATAACTTGCTCTTTATTTAGATGTACAAAAATAAATATTACATACAGAAATAAAAGTAATAAACTTTAAAAAGATCATTAAGGGTCTGTAATGCAACTCTCTCTCAAAATTGATTACGATGACTGATAGAATGTTTACACAATTCGCTAAAACAATAAAAGATAAGACTACCGCCCATCATCTAATGGCACTATAATCTGGTCCCTCATGCTATCATAGCCAGTAGTTTTACTTGTACTACAACCATTATGGCTAGCAACACGATCTTTGTAGCCATCTAAAGGTAGACTCTGATTAAGCAATTGTTCGGTTTCTTCAGGATACAAATCTACTTCAATCCATGGATGCCTATCCATCATTCGGATAATCCCCTCTAGCTCCATTGCGACTTCCTTCATGGTAGGCCTTTCCTCTCCGACTATCCTTAAGCACTTCCTCGCCAACTTAGCAACTTCATTGAGCTGTCCAACAGTTCCCTCATTCACCATTCTTGTGTCAAGAATTTGAAACAATTGATCTTCTTTCATTGAAGAAACAAAGTACATTGCTAGGTTTCTATTGTTCTCGGACCTGTCAAAAGAAATTGCCTTTTCTCCTGTAAGTAGCTCAGCAAGGACTACTCCAAAGCTATACACGTCACTCTTCTCAGTCAACTGGCTTGAATGGAAGTACTCTGGATCCAAATATCCAAAGGTCCCTTGCACCAACGTGGTAAGTTGAGTATGATCATGAGGAACCAACCTTGAAGCTCCAAAGTCAGACACTTTTGCAGCGTAAGTATTGTCTAGTAGTATGTTGGTACACTTAATATCTCTATGAATGATTGCAGGAGAAGTTGCGGAGTGCAAGTATGATAGTGCTCCAGTAGCTTCGGCTGCTATCTTCAAACGGATTTCCCAAGAAAGTAAGGATGCACGGTCTTCATTGTGAATATGGTCAGAGAGTGTTCCATTTGTGATGAACTCGTAAACTAGTAATGGGACTTCGGTCTCCAAACAGCAGCCTAAAAGCTTGACCACATTTCTATGGTTAATTTGGGAAAGAACAACCAACTCATTGATGAATTGCTCAATCTGTGTTTGATCACTTATTTTGGACTTCTTGATTGCAACAATTCTATCATCTGATAATACTCCTTTGTAAACTGTTCCGAACCCACCTTGGCCTACTATTCTACTTTCGTCGTAGTTGTTAGTAGCCTTCTTTAGATCTTCAGCGGTAAAGATTCTAGCTGTTTCGACAGAGCCTTCATGTTTTGAGAGTTGTTGCTGAAGCATTATTCCACCGTTTTGCTGGAAGAACTTTTCTCTGAGTTTGATGAGCTTTCTTTTCCTGAGTATCCAATATATCCAAGAACTCCCCACTACAATTGCAAGAAGACCTATGCTTATACCTGCATTTAACATGAATGAAAAGTCATTAGCAATATATTCTACTGTCACAATGTGAAAACATTACTAAAAAGGATCAACCCAAAATATCAATAAATGTATATTAAAAAAACTTAATAAATATAACATTCTGATCGAGTTTATGAAGAAAGATTTCGATTTTCTGAGTTATGTTGGTCCTTTGAAAAAAAAAATTTCCTTGCCAAAAAGCTCACACACTTCAACCCTCCCTTCTATTTTTGGAGGTTGAAATACCACTAAACTACAACCCAACTTGTTAGTCCTTAAAGACAAGTCATGTGGATTTATGAATAATTACACTTTTTTAAAAAAACTAATCGTGTCAATATAATGTTTTTCAATTTTAAAATTATAATTTTTTATTTTTAATTTTTTTGCCAAGAAAGCATTCTAGAAATTAAGTGTGAATATAAGAACATTTTACAGAAGTAAATGGTACTGATTCTACTGGTAAGTCTGTTCTTTCGCCTCTGGTGATGAGGAGAAAATGATTGCAGCCCACAAATATATTTTACAAGTAAAAAACGCAAGTCTTGATATTCTTGAAATTTTGATTCCATAAGGTTTTGCAGAAGAAATTGTTGAATATCGGTTAGTGGTTACGTTTGTTGACCAAACATCAGAAGTCTAATGTGACTTTTTCTTCATAAGTTACTTGGTGTCTCTATGAGCCGGGTGATTTCAGGCTCATAGAGCACTCATGGTCACAATCCTCTATCCCACAAGCAACAGACAATAATTGGGAAATTTTTAATAAAACTGGAACTTCAAAACTTGATGATGTGAGGTGAGAACTTGTAATTTGCTGATTCATTAGTTCTAAAAATGTCGGCATGCAATTACCTTGACTTCTTTAACAAATTAAAAGTCACAAAGTCTAGATTGACTCTTACGAGGATCTTATATATATTTATATTAACTTTTTTTAAATATAATTTTTAAATAGTGTTGAAATTTCTTATATATATATATATATATATATATATATATATATAGGTTAAGTATAAAAAAATATTCCTAAAGTATGTATATAGTGCATATCACATTCTTCACGTGCAAAAAACAAGTATAAAGTTTTAATTTGGTGCAAAAAAACCCTTCTAACAAATTTAATTCTGAAGTTGACTAAATTACCCTTACTGAACCATATTTTAAAATATATAAAAATAAATAATTTTATAAAATAACTGAAAATGACACTATTAGATGATGCCCCTCACATTCAAAAAATATCCCTAAAGTTTTAATCTGATGCAAATAGGTCATTTTGACAAATTTAAACCCTAAGTTGACTAAATTACCCCTACTGAACCATTTTATAAAATATATAAAATAAATAATTTTATAAAATGACTGAAAATAACACAATTGGAGAACGCCGGTAATGGACAATTAAAGATAAAAATATAAAAGAAAGTAAAGATAAAAATAGTAAATTAAAAACGTAAATAAAGTACAAACTAAAGAAAACAAATCTGCTCCAAACTCTGAGAACTAGTGTACATTGATATTGGGAATTTTTTTTTTTTTTTTTTGTTTAATAGTATTAGTACGAAAAAAAAAAAACTAAGGTAAAGAAAAACAAATTTTAGTAGAAAAGAGTAAAGTGAAATCTCAAATAATTCGAATCATTGTTCTACAAATTCTCAAAAATAAATAATAAAAAAAAAATTATTTGAGATATATATAAAGAAAAAAGTTTACATAATAATAATAATAATAATAAGGTAATGTGCACATGACACCCTTATACAATGAGATTAGTAACATATATACCCCCTTGGATATTTTCGGAAGAGTAAAAGGAAAAAATGGGTATTGCAATACTAATTTATATCGAAGTTGTATTTTTGAAGAATGTAAAAAATTAAAAGTATTTTTTGCACTTTTTTTTAAATAAAAAATAAAAATACTATATGTTTTAGGGTGTTTCACACACTTATCCCATATACATTTATGACATAGTAGGATGTTCACAAGTCACTATCTATCCTAGTTTAATTATCAGTCAGGAAATGATGAGACTTACACGGAGTATATAGGAACTTGAGATATAATTAAATTTTTTTTTGCTTACGCTATGGAGCAGATGAACTTGACAATGGAACATATCAAAAACTTGCCTAAAGCAATATGAATCAAGGTAGATCCTCCAGATTGACCTTTGGGATGGCAGCCTGTTCCGTTTTTCAGTCCATCGCCTTCAAACCCTTCGGTGCAACCACATGAAAAAGTTCCAGGCAAATTCATGCATGTTCCACTGCACGGTTTTGAAGTTTCGCATTCATTGATATCTATAAAAAAGAAGAAGGTGGATATGCATTTAATCACTTAGAAGAACAAATTTCATAGTTAGTAGAAATACCGAAAAAAAAAAAACAAAAAAAACAAAAAACAAAACAAAATTACATGCTCAAAAACAAATTTCATCTTCAACGAACAAAGATATATGTATGACTATGTATATAAATATATATGTGTATTTGTTACCTTGGCAACCATCAATGAGATAAGGGTTCCCTTCATAACCTGATGTGCAACTGCAACGATATCCCGGTCCATTAGTTGAATTGAGGCATTGGCTATGAAGGGCTTGACAAGCATAGCTTGATGAGTTTTTCATAGCTTCTTCACATGTCTCATTTCCCACAGCCCAATCAAGCACCACAGGGACAGTCTCTCTCTTTTGTAAATCCTTTAGATCTAACGATGAGAAGCTAAAAGCCGCTTCTTCGACTACAAAAGCATAACCACATGGATTAAAATCTTGTACAAGAGAATGATTGTTTAAGCTCGCAATACCCACCGAAAAATCCCTTGCTGCTTGTGGTATTGCAGTCTGGCAGCATCCGACACCCGAACACGATTGGTTGACTACACTCCCCAAATGATCACATAGTGATAAACAACCAGTTGTGTAATTCTCCCCCAAAGTACCTAGAACAACTGCCACCGTGTCGCACCCAATGGCCGTGAACTTGTTCAGCGTGTTGGAGATGAAGAAACTCGACAGCTTGAGTGAGGCGGGGCGTCTCTCAACCAGACCAGACTGGTTGTAACAGTCTTGTGCCACGTTAGACGAGACGAGCATTAGGCCATCGAGTGATATGTTAAGTACTTGTATGGTGCCTAGGCGCAGAAATGGTCTGGGAGGGTTGAAATGAGTTTCGTTACAGGTGATGAGGAAGGAAGGGTCCAGGTAACAATCCGAGCTTGTGCCGAATGGGAAGGGGATGTTAAGGTCTCCGCAGGTGGTGGCGCAACCTGGGTTGGGCTGAGTTGCGGCTGTCGTTGGTGTTGCTGCTAAAATCGCTCCAATCAAAGTGAGTTGCACAAGCAATATTGCACAACCCATGGCTTCTATTTCATGAAACTTTCTTGTCTCTTCAATTTTAAGCCTTAATTGAATTGGTTTCACTCTTATATGAACATAATTAAAGGGCCAAATCTAATCCACTTCACCTATATGGCGGAGACTTAGTCTTGGCTTCCCGACTCGATAGAAGAACAATACACATCTGGTGTGAAAGCCATAACAATTCACGCCTCTATGTATATTCAATTGAATTACTTAGTACTATGAAAGGTATTTGGTTAGAATTAATTTGACTAACTTATAAAAAAATAGGAATTAATCTGACTATTTAACAGTCTTTCTCTATGTGACAACTAGAAAGTTTTTGTTTGGCCAACTTTGAGTCATATATTGTGACGGAACACCAAAATTATGCATCCAGCTTATTTTATTCCGATTATAACAACGTTTATGCGGTGATTACCAAGTCAATGTCCAAAAACTTGAACCAACCACGGAAGAAAATATAAGACCGACCAGCGGATAAGAAAGGATTGGTTTGTTTATTTAAAGTAAAGTCTGGTATTACTTGCACAGGTTTCAATCTTTTATGTTTTAATTATCAACAAATTGGTCAAAATCACATGACGATGGTGGTTGTTTTATATAAGATACAAAAAAATGCAAGCACTTGTACAGGGTTACGAGACTAATGGGACGTAGACTGACACCTTCGCGAATCCAGTGAAGTCATTTTGTCTTGTTCTTACATGCAGTGCACGTTACTTGACCTATACTTGGTCTCGTTTAGATGCCGTAAGTGTACAATATAGCTTACTCTCTCACCATCACATTCATCATCAAAATAAGATATTCATATAGTGTTGAATAGTTAATATCATACATAAATTTAACACAAAAAATTAGAGATATCGATCGACGCCTAAGAAACAGATGTCGACCGAAAGCCCCCAATTGGTCGACGTGTAGCCATTTCACGTTGACTGAGTCATGTAAAAAAAAAAAAAAAAAAAAAAAAAAAAAACTCACCACATTCACTATCAAAATAAGGTATTCACATAGTACTGATTAACTAACATACCAACAGGTCAATGACCTAGTGGATCAGACTCTTACTTTCCAAAGAGGTCAATGGTTCAAGTCTCGGTGGAGACGTGTGTGTGAGTAAAAAAAAAAAAAAAAAAAAAAAAAAAAACTAATGTCACACATAAATCTAGCCCAAAAAATTGGAGATACCGGTCGAAAGCTCCCAACTGGTCGACGTGTAGCCATTTCAGGTCGACCAAATCCTGTATACATGAAAAATAAACCACACTCATCACCTTCACCATCAAACGAAGGTATTCACATAGTACTGATTAAAAAATTGGAGATACCAGTCAATGCCTAAGATCAAACGTCGACCAAAAGCCCCCAACTCGTCGACGTGTAGCCATTTAACATTGACTGAATCCTAAAAAAAAAAAAAAAAAAAAAAAAAAAAAATTATACTCCCCAACTTCACCATCAAAAGAAGGTATTCGCATAGTGCTGAATAACTAATGTCATAAATAAATCTAGCCCAAAATATTGGAGATACCGGTCGACGCCTAAGTACCAGACGTCAATTGAAAGCCCCAAACTGATGGACGTGTAGCCACTTCACGTTGACCGAGTCCTGCATACATGGAAAAAACAATGTTATTCATTTTTTCATTATTTTGCTAAATATCGAGTATTTGATTGATATGTGACATTAGTTAGTGGACACTATGTAATTTTCCTTTTTTTAGGGTGAATGTAGTAGCAAATAAGTCAATATTCTTCACTTTTGTAATTGCCACATCCAACCAAATGCGATATCAATTCGTGTGAAGCAAACCATGTGATACCCCTCGATTCTAGAGCCACAGGTGATCAAGTACGAGAACAGAACCCAAGGATAGCAAACAATTAACTAATAAACAAGCTTTGTGTAACGACCCGAACCCGTAGGTTCGAACCGTTAACTGGGTCCTTAACCGAACCCGAGGTCAACTAAGGACAACACCGTCTTTTCCTATGTTAAGACATGACACATGAGTCAGTCCAGGGTCCAAAATACTCCAAGAACACATTTTTACAAAATGGTTAAAGGTGCAGGTCAAAAGGGAAAGGTCAGCCGGCTGATGGCCGTTGGTCGGCCGGCTGATAAGGCAGGATCGGTCGGCTGACCTATATGGTCAGCCGGCTGAAACGATTGTGAAAAATTGTTGCTCTCGAGACTTTCCAAAATAGCCTGTCGGTCAGCTGGTGAAGGGGGTTTGGTCAGCTGAACCTGGGGTTCTGGTCGGCTGGTGAAGGGGGTTCGGTCAGCCGAACCTGGGGTTCTGGTCGGCTGGTGAAGGGGGTTCGGTCAGCCGAACCTGGGGTTCTGGTCGGCTGATGGTGAGGTTCAGCCGGCCGAAATAAGGCTCCTCACAACCAAACTCTCAGGAATGATCTCCAACTGTGTTTGCTATTGGGCCAAACCTATACCGAACCTGTTATGCAATCACATTCCGAATTCACGGCAACAGAACATGACATAAAACAGTTAAGAAGGCATCTACAATTGGTCAAAACATAACTTAATTTCCCATCTATCATGAAACATTTACATAATTTCACTTCACTTCAAAATACCATCAAGAGTTATAGTTACAATATATGGCCATGATTTACAAAATGAATACACTTTACAGAGGTTTGAGACTTTACAAGAGAATGAAAAATATATAGAAGATGACAAAAATGGATTTCTAATCCTCCTTAAGCTTGTGAAGGGTCTGCATCCACCACTTCTTTCCGAGTCCTAAAAAATGTTAAATATGAAGGGGTGAGTAAATTTTTTTGGGACCCCGTGAATCCAAACAATGAATAGAACAATAGGAGTTAGGGTCATGCTATGCCGGGAGAAGGTACAACAAACTCAAGTCATAATAAAACAAATTCGTGCCATGAAATGCAATGCCATGTATGTCGCTCCCCATTTTTAGAAAAATCACTTCCATTCTCCACTTTTCAAACTGTTAACATAACCCGTCCCTCGGTGATGCCTCGGCGACATGAGAGAAGGATTGGCTATTGTCCCTGACCCTTGGTAACTCTATGGCGTCATTTGGGGCCCAGATAGCTCAACCACACTAGAGTGATTCCCCTAGTTCCCTCTGGGTTACATTAACACCACGGCATTTTGGTAACTTCTCGGCGACCGGGTTTTCACAAAATCTCTTTGTCAAAATATTTTCCCAAAGCCCCTTTTTCATTTCAAATCACATCATTCCCATTTCCTTCCCAATGCTTTTGCACGAATGCGTCATGCCATGTCAATATTCATCATTCTACAACTAATTCAAACTTTAATTATATAGCATGTTTTACAAGAGATTCCAAGGAAACTACAACATGATTTTATACAATCATAATTTGGCAAGGTAGGTATATAAAATCAACACTTAAACATGTTTTTCACACAAATCAACATATACATGATGAGTGTTGAAAAGTGCTCATTTAAACCCCTTAAGCTTAGCTATTCTAGAACCTTTATCTATCTTATTTTCCCGCTTTAGATTGATTTTGTATTATTTCCATTTTCAGGTACTTATCCCCAAAATAAGCTAACTCAGCTAAATAAGAGCATAATTGAAGCAATCTTGAGATAAATCAAAGAAAGGAGCAAAGTGGGAGCAAAAGGAAGCAAGTCGTGGAAATTCAGCATGTTCGATCGATCTCAGCAAATATTCGATCGATCGAAAATTCATCGATCTCAGCATTCCAAGATGGATCCAAGCTCTCTTGTCCTTATCCAAAGATCCCACAAAGTTCGATTAATCCAACTTTCTTCTGATCGATCGAAAAGATTCTATCTTATTCACTTGTACCACCCTACCTACCACATTTGTCTCTTTCCCAAAAATATTTTCAAAATATCTCAGATTTGTTTTTATCCAAAAAGTCGCTACCATAGAGGATCGATCCAGCTTAAATTCGATAGATCTCACCTATGTTCGATCGATCTCACCACAAGTTTGATCGATCGAACTTCCCAAATCCCAAGAAAATCTAAATTCCAGCTCACTAAAAGTTGTCTCATATCCAATCATTGGAAGGAATATTAGTGTACGAGCCCAGCTCATTTGGGGTGATATTTAACCTACCTATATAAAGAATATGAGCCATTTGTTGAGATATATACTTGAGAGTAGATAGAGACACAATTTCAATATTCTTAGGGAGTAAGAAAAGAAAGAAGAAGGCTAGAGACACAAGCTCGGAGTTCTTCCATCAACCAAGAAGAGGAGAAATCTCTACCATGGAGTTAGCCCTTGAGGGTTGGAGGACACCATCCATGAGTGGCTAGACATCCTCTTGGGGCTAGAGTTAGCCCTAAGCATGTTTTCTACATCTTGATTTATGTATTTTTGAGGGGATTTGTATTGTAATACGTGTTTTAACACTTTTATATATATAGATCTTGTATATTCAATAATTTGTGTGGTTTAATGCTTCCAATTGATCATTTCATTCTATCCATATATCTATGTATGCTAGAATAGATGTTCATGTGTTTATCTCTATTTCTTGTGTTATTGATGTATGTCTATGTGTATTAATGCTATAGATCTAGAAATTGTCAAGACATAGTGCTTAATGGAATGCTTTTGTGGTTTATTTGATGGTTCATACTCATTTCTTGATTGATTGTGCCTCTCCCTTAGTTTAATTTCATGTTATTAGCTTAATTGTAGTGTAGTTGTAGTTTAGGTGGTAAATAGGAGGACAATCCATGCTTATTGTTTGATATTCTATACTTATGAAAGCAAGTAGCATGTATCTCTAACCTTGTGATGTGTTCGGATTGTGAGCTTAAAGAAAGGATTAATGGCTTAGTTTGATATATTATGCTATCCACCATGTTGCTTAGACAATATATGCTTGATTTGTCATCTATGCTTGTTGAAACAACCACGCACACACACACTATGTTGCAATACATGTTTTTCCCCTCATTAATCATTCATTAAGGGTGTAGAAAA